CGTCTGTTGCGGTGAGAGTAGGGAGGACGTCGGACAGACACGACCGCTACAAGCTCGTTGTCTCGGCAGTTTTGGCCAGGGGATATCGACACTCATTGATGAAAGTTCCGCTGACGGAACTCATCTCTCCTGCTCTGCCTTGGGGCTCCACGGAGGCCCTGACCGGAGTAACAGCTGGTAGTATAGGCAGACAGGGCTGCCGGCAAAGACAAGTCTGGGTATGACTGGTTGACGACGGCTAATGAGCCAGAAATGGCCATTTCAGTCTCCTTTGTCTTTTTAGTTGACCCAATTGTGAAAAAACTCGCGGCATTCGGCGGGATTCGAACCGAACTCGCGGCATTCGGCGGGATTCGAACCCGCATAGGAGGGAGGCCTTTTACGCCAGCCAACGCTCTACCCACTTGAGCTACGATGTCCTTCACACCGTGAGTTTGATCCCTTGTCTTTGCCGGCAATACTATCTGCCTACATGCAGCTATTACGGCTGTCAAGGCTTCTGTCGAGAACCAAGGTAGAGCGGGACAGATGATTTCCGTTAGTGGTCAGATGAACGTTCATCACTGAGTATAAAACAAAATTCTCTAATTAAGTACCGACCTAGAGCAGGGGTCGGCTACCTTTCTGACTCAGAGAGCCGATAGCGCAAATATTTTAATATTTCAGTGAGAGCCCTATCATATTTTTTAGGATTAAATTCAATTAAATGTGCGTATAAAAAGCCTCTGTATTTATTCTTTTTAATAATTTTCTCATAATACTCATTGTTAATGCGACTTCTAGTGCTGCATGGCTTCGTAATCTGGTTGGTAGTTCGTGAGGTTAAGCTTCATACCAGCGTCAGATATTAGGAGCAATTTATTTGTGCACAAGGCGAGTTTCCGCGAATGGATGGTTTGCTTGCGTGTGATGTGTCCGTCTGGGGGACATAAACACAATGGGGCATAGGCGACACAGCAGGCTGGCCTATGCGTGTAAGGTAGCCTTATCTGCCAGCGTGACATTGAATAAGTCTGGGGGTTGCCGTGCTTTAGTAGAGCGTCTGTTTTTAGCGAGCTTGTCGCGGCCATTGAGACGCAAGAGAAAAGGGAGCAGCTGCTGTCCGCGAGCCGGAAAGAGAACACTTAAACAACTGCTAGGTCAAACCTAGGGGGGGAGCTGAAACACCAGAGTTTGGTCGAGATTAAATTGATTCTAATACGCGTCTCAGAGGTGGCACGTCATTGCGGGAACCAACGTCACAAAATCTGAAGTTACTAATTCCAGTTTTATCTGAGAGAGCCAGATGCATTCATCGAAAGAGCCACACCTGGCTCGGGAGCCATAGGTTGCCGACCCCGGACCTAGAGCATAAGCCGTTGCTTTTAGATACGGGTTTGCATGCTTAGGGTGGAAAAGGAGGGGGAGGTAGCTACCGAAGCACGGCAGTTCATGTTACAGCGAAGGCCTGTCAAGCGTCATTAAGGGGGGGAGCAAAGGGCAGTGCGGCAGTCGGCCCTACGAGAAATGGAGGGGGCGTGAGAGGAGGGGAAAGGGAATGGGTTTACATTCTTTATCGATCCCTACCACGGCAATGCGAGGTTCATAAGGTGATACAGCTGCTTAAAGACTTCTGGTTTACTTCTCCGAAAAGCAGCAGCCTCCGCAGATTGCAGGAGACGCCCGGTCGTCGCTTGAAGTACAACCTTAAATGCAGTCTCTGGATCGACAAATGAACTCTTGCGTGTTTTATTTTCTGTCCTAAGCAGCCACTTCGGCATATGTTCAGCTGACCGCGTTGCCAACTGCTTTTGCGTCCGTCCGACGTACTTGCAATCGCAATCATAAATACATTTTGAGGTGGCGTGCATAGACATGATGTCCTTAGTTAGCCTAACTCGAATAGTCGTTGTTTTGCCTATAAATAATACTTTAGAGGCGGTGTACGTTCATTCTATTTTTCATTTAAACAGTGGCTTGATCACAGTCTGCCAGTATCCCTACGAATGAGAGTGCATGCCACAATTCTGACCATAACAAAGTCAGTTAGGGTTCGACACTGGGATGCCCTGATGCCATACTGAACTGCTTTATTTTTTGCCCACAATGCCCCCTTCAGCTCGATCAATGGTGTTTCCGATTAATCGGTCGAGGTGACCTGCCGGGCCAACGAGCTACGCTGTCGACAACCGCACCGATTGGACGAGCAAAGACGTTCCTCATGCCATTCTTTAATCCCCTTACTTATCCGGTCAATCTCAGGGTCCTTCTGAAGCCTCTAGAAATCGCTCCCTCGGCGACTTTGGACGAGAACACAGATGCCGACACCTCACAGGACCACCCCAAACAAGACGGTCGGCCCCGGTTTGAGGCCTTCCGGCTGTTGATGAATCAGGCGAGGTATGTTCTTACGCGGGTCTGACCTACGCCCTGCTTAATATGTGGGTGGGGAGGGATTTTCCTGCACAAATTTATGCCTGCTCACCTTAAGTGCATTTAAAATGTTAGGAGAGTGCCTTTGTTGAACCCAGTAGCTATTGCGGAACTTTGTCTGAAGTAATGATCGCCTGCTAAGAAAACGAATTAAATGCAAAGCCATGTACGTGGATCCGACTTTAGTAGTAATTTAGCCATGTTACAATACATGAAACCGTTGCAGTGGGTGTTTGTGTGCGTGTAGAGAAGGCAACAGTTCGGCCATCGAATTCGACGAGGTTAATCGTGTACAAAACACCAGGGGGGGGCGCAGGGCTATTAACTTGCGCATGAATTAGACTATAATGATAGTAGACTTGCCCTGCATCTTCCGCACACACTCCCCTTCCCCCGTCTGGGTCCGGTGTCATTATGAGGTCAAGAAGACCGGAGGTGGGAGCAGGCGCAGGTGACTGCCGTGATATGAGCCTGCATTTAGGCTGGGATCTCAAACAACGGGAGTGCCATAAAGGGCTTATTAACCAGGAGCCATTAAAGCCTGACTCTCAGTTCGCCAGCTGGCCGCTGCATACAAACACATACTGGTGTAGGATAGGAAGTAGTCTGGCCGGGTAATAGAAGACAGAAGTACCCCAATAGTTATAAATCAGTAAATAAGGCGATAAGACGTGGAGGGCCACAATGTTAGGAATAATTTAATTAAGGGCAGAAGGAATAGAGTATAGATAGGAGGAAATTGCCTCTCGAACGATTGCAGTCTAGCCGTGAGGGAGCAGGGTCCGTAATAACAATCCGGCAGTGAGGTTGCCGGGTCCGACACTCGTTGACTATCGGACCAGTGCACGTCCGACCGTGAAGGCTGGCCAGTCGCAAG